GACAGGAGCTCCATAACGACACCAACAAAGCCAAAAAATCTTGGCCCAGGGGGCCCTGAAGAGACTGTTGCACCAACCAAGTACCATGCATGGAAAGGAACTAGACCCCCTGCTTAAATGTAGCTGATAAGCAGCTCAGTCTCCAAGTGGGTTCCCTAGTAAGGGGAACAGAGGCTGTGTCTGTCATGAACTCGGTTACCTGCTCTTTGATCATCTCCTCCTGTCTGGGTGGCCTTACTAGGCCATAGAGAAAGAGGATTCAGGCAGTCCTGATGAGACCTGATAGGGTAGGGTCAGATAGGAGGACTTCCCTTATCAGTAGACTAGGGGAAGGGGATAGGTGGGGAAGAGGGAGGGAGGATGGGATCTAGAGGGAAGGGGTTACAACTGGGATACAAAGTGAATAAAATGTAAAAAAAAAAAATATTTATTTTTTTATTTATCATAATTTATTCACTTTGTATCCCAGTTGTAGGCCCATCCCTGGTCCCCTCCCAATCTCACTCTTCCTCCCTCTTCTCCTCCCTTGCCCCTCCCCCAGTCCACTGATAGGGGAGGTCCTCCTCTCCTTCCATCTGACTCTAGCCATCAGGTCTCATCAGCACTGGTTGCATTGTCTTCCTCTGTGGCCTGGTAAGGCTGCTCCCCCTCAGGGGGAGGTGATCAACGAGCAGGCCAATCAGTTTATGTCAGAGGCAGTCCCTCTTCCCATTACTATGTAACCCACTTGGAGACTGAGCTGCCATGGGCTACATATGTACAGGGGTTCTAGGTTATCTCCATGAATGGTCCTTGGTTGGAGTATGGGTCTCAGAAAAGGCCTCTGAGCCCAGATTTTTTGGTTCTGTAAAAAATTTTTAAAAAATAAAATAAAATAAAAAAGAATTAGTGGAAGTTGAAGGCTTGACTTAGTAACTTTCCTGGGTAACTTTTTACCAACCTATAAAGGGAATAGTCTGTCAATAGGTAACCAATGCAAATTCTAGGTATTAATTTGTTCAATCACATGTCACTCCACTACTCACATTTCCTGGGGAGAGATCAAGATCTGGGAACCTTCACTCCAGACCAGATAGTCAAGAAGTAGGCAAATATGATACTCAGCAGAACTATTGGAGGTCTTAAGAAAGTCCCAAATGAGGACAATTAGGAGCAGCTAAGTGTATTAAAGAAAAAGAGGGGCTGCCACTGGGCTTTGAAGGATGAGAGATAGAACACCTCAGGGATCATGCTGGCTATTAAGAGGGTTGATTGAAGGCATTTGTCAGCCAGGAGGTACCTAATTCAAGAGAGCCATTGTTACTGTTGTTGACTGGAAATTTTAAAATAAAAAGTTTCTGGATATATTTACTATGTGAGAAATGCTAAATGACTTAATGTCCCAGGATGTCATTAAAACCCTTTTGTGCATAGTTGGGGCATCCGCTTAGCTTTTTAATGATGTTGGCATGGCAAAGGAAGATTACTATCACAGTTTCTTCCCACACTCAGTATTGTTATTTAAAGGTTTATGAGATGAGTTCATCATTTCTACATCTGCAAGAAAATGAATGGAACTGGAAATCACAGTACATGAAATAAGCCATCACTGTTAATCAAAAGTGGGTGGCATGCCATGCTTGGTGGGTGGACACTCATCTTTCTAAGGCAATCTTATTTTTTCATGTCCTAGTTATTTTACTTGGATTTCTCTCTTCTATTATTCTATAGCTTTTCTTTATTTCCTTCTTTGACAGTTTTGTTAAGCATCCAATGTATTTTGGCAATTCTCATCATCTCCCATCTCCTACCCACCCTGATTTTCATTTAAATTTTTTTGTTTGTTTGTTTTACTTGTCCTTAATATCTCAAATTTTCCTTTTGAAGCCTTTCATTTTTTTACTTCCTCCCTTTCTTCCTGCTTTTCTCCTTCCCTCTTTTCTTCGTTTCCTCTCTCTCCCTTTCTTTCTTCATCCTCTTCCCACCTTCCTTCCTTTTTTTTCCTTTCTTCCTCCTTCTCCCCACTCTCTCTCTCTCTTCCGAGTTTTCTTCTCAGACAGGATCTCATCCATCTGATGCTGGTCTGGAGCTTCCTATGTGGTCAAGGATGACCTTGAACTTCTGATCTTCCCGCTTCCACCCCTGTGTGTTGGGGTCACTGATGTGTGCTGAAATGGCCAGTTTATGTTGTGCGTGGGATGTAGGGCTCCCTGCACAATAGGACAAGCAGTCTACAAGCTGAGCTACAACCTCAGCCCTATTTTAAAAACTGTTCATGTAGTTGGCCGTGGCATGGATCCTTTTGTTTTGTTTTATGAGGTTTTCTTTGTTCCTAAACCCACGCCATGAAATATTGGAGCTTCCTGTTAATTGGTTGTCTCAGTTTTGAACAAATTAGTGTGTGTGATAAATACAAAGGCAATATATGATATAATGTACATAACTATGTAACAGGAGTTATTAATTTTCCAGTTTCATCCAGAAGAGCATGACTCAGCATCCCTGAGTGTGTGGGCGGAGGATGGGTGGGACCCAAAGCTAGGGGCAGGAGGAGGCATTTTCAGATAGTCACAGGCATCCTAGAGTCGATTGCTGGTCTACTGGAAAGTGGTGTGACAAGTCCCATTTCTTCTTCTTCATTATTTTGTTTTGAGGCCCCTGTCTCTTAACTCTAGTTTCTGTATCTCTTTGGTTTCGTGGTGGTGGTTCCCTATTGTGCAGTATAGCAATCTCCAGAACCAAATCTCACCCCAGGCAGGAATTTTGATTGATGAAACCTAAAGGGAAGTTGCTAGTAGTTTCTAGACAGGGGCAGATTTTCAAAGTAGTTAAAGAAAATTCACTGTAAGAACTTCTTGGGTTTCTTTTAAGACCTCATCTTCATAATTATATACCTTTTCTTACAGACAGGTCCTCCCCACCTGCATTCTATAATCTTCAAAGTTTCCCCATACCCCCTTCTACCGATAGTTTTGAAATATATAGCCCTATCTCATAACTAGAAAAATGTGCTACGAAAAGTCACACACTTCTTTCCTCTGTGTGTTTTGAGTGGCTAAGCAGCTTGGAGCTGCAGCAACTATTTTACAACCTTGAAAGGAAAAGCAGAATTACGTAGAGCTGGATTAGGAATTTACTCCCATTGAGTCTCTAGATTAAGTAACTGTACAGCCAGCTGATCATCTCCAGACTTTCAGTTAAATTAGATGTCAAATCATTGTTGAAGCTGTTGTTCAAATGGTCTGTGACCCAGACTCGGTGGTACATGCTTTAATCCAAACACTCAGGAGGCTGAGACAAGAGGCTAGTGAGTTTGAGTCCACCTGGGCTATATAGTAAACTCCAGGCCATCCTGGGAAACTCAGCAGTACATTGTCTCAAGAAGCTAACAGTAAAAATAAAAAAGCAAATAGCTCATGACCTATAACCCATTACACTTTAACCTGTACCCTCAGGTCTCCTAGGACTGTTTTCATTACTTATGAAGACAGACATCTTTTCTCCTGAATGTACAGGATACTGTATTTCCTTTAGGAGAACCTCTGCCAAAATGGAAGAAATCTCCCTTCCCCCAGCAGAGGACTTCCATTCCTGCCTGGAATGGCTTCAAGACCCAAGGCATTTCCCACTGGAACTGTGATGTCATCTTAGCGATTGTCCATCCTCTGCATGGTGATCTCTGGCTTTGCCCCTCCCCTGCTTAAGCCTATTTCCACTAAATCACCCCATAGCCCATCGTCTACCTCCATCTCATGCTATAACCTCTCAGCTCCTTGGCGCTTGAACTGAACAAAAGAAAGCCAGTGACAGACATGCACAGTCATGCTAACATGTGAGTGGTGGCCCACTATGACTTCATCCTCACAATTCATTTCCTTCCAGACCTTCACCAGAATTGTATAAAGTGAAAGATCTTCCAAAACAACAACAACAAAAGTAAGTCTTTTGAGGACTCTGGCAAGGTTGCGTGTGTGCCCCACAGAAGGCCTTGAGAAACATTTGTTTGTATATTAAAGACCCCAGAAGTGACATGAGTAAAACTGATTGCATTCCCATTATTATTTTGTATTGTTTTTGTGTGTGACAGAGAGAGGAGAAAGAGAGACGGATGCCGCCACATGGCAATGTCATGGATTATAACGTTCTCACTCAGTCTGTGTGAACTCTAAACAAGAAGATAGACTCACACTTTAGTTCTGGGAACTAATGGTGTTAGAAGGAGTCTCTTGGAACCCTTTTTGTCTCTAGATATGTGTTAAAATGTTTTCTAGGTAGCCCAGGCTGGCCTGGAACTTGTATCCTTCTCCCTCTGCTTTAGTCTTCAAGACCCTGTAACTAGCATGGCAGAGGAAGGCACAGCCTAAGAGCCTGACTGGCCTCTGCCTTCAGCTGCCAGTAGTTACAACCAGATCTGCCTTGATTTCAGGTCGTGGTAGCCAGGCGATTCTCTCTGTGAACACAGAGGCGTGAGTCAGTCGTGCTCGAGAACTGAAGTTCGTGCCACAGAGTCTCATGACGTAAGGCCCTGCTTGTTAGATGTCCACTCACTTGCCCAAATTCCTTTTCGTACCGATGAGAAATCTGTTCTTTCTAGTATATCATTTACTAGTCTTGAGTCTCAGACATGACTACTCCGCTCACCTTGCAGATCAATCTAAGTACGACGCCCCTTCGGACTCATGTCTGAAGGGCTGTTCTCTTCTGGAATGGGCTGCACTCTCAGTACAATCAGAGCACAGGAACCGCTCTGCTTTAAGCTATACAGGTGATGTGGGAGCTTGAGTAGTTGAGTTAAAGCCCAGCTATTACAACTCAAGCCATCTGGAGCCGTGAAATCTAAATCTCAACTCTGCATTTGTGCCTAAAGCTCGTGTTCACCTACGCATCTCCTCCAGCCTTTTGATTTTCTAGACAAGGAGGCACTGTAGCAAAGGGCACCTGTGCAAAATGATCTCAATAATTGGGACTTACCCATGGGCTTCGAACAGAATTTGAATGGATGCCGTATATTTTATAATTACCTCTGTTATGAACCACCCTTCATCAGCCACCAAAGTCAAAGGAGAGACAAATTTCCCTTTCTTGTAATAGAACCTGCTGGGTATAGCTTCCTTCTCATACACAGTCATGTGTTCCACTGTGCTGAGTTTGTGATAGATCTGCAAAGAAAACCAAGAGTGAGTGGTCTGAGCACTCATTAAGTAAGTATTAGATCTGTGAGATGGAAGATATATATATATATATATATATATATATATATATATACATACACATACATATGTATATATATAATATAAACATTCTCATATATATAAGCTACATTAAAATGAGATACTTTTTTCCCCTTGAGAAAGGATCTTATTATGTCTCTCTGGCTAGCCTGGAATTTACTGCGTAGACCAGGCTGGCCTTGAACTCACAGAGCTCAGCCTGAGTCTACCCAGTGTTAAGATTAAAGGTATACACTGTCACACCTGGCTATGAGAGACTTTTGTATAGCTCACAAAGGAAGCTGGCTTTATCCAGGAAGGCTAAAGGTCCATATGCTCCCTGAAATAAGAGGTGGAATACATTGTATTCCTTAGGGAATACAATGAAAGTCTCTCATGTGCACCTTGTAGACATATATACAAAATACCCCAGACATCCAGCAAAAGAGACACAGCAAAGAGAGAACAATGGGGGAAATAAAGACATACAGGTGGAGTTCTTGGGCAAGACACTATAAAGTAGTAAAGACAGATGCCTCAGTCACATCAGCTAAGACGCGTAGAAGAGTCTCAACAATCTCAGATTGAGCAAAAATAATGTTAAGTTGTAGGAAACACCACAGAGATTCTTATCTTATGAAACTCTAGTAACCACTCAACCATATGATAAATGGTCACTTTTTAGTGGCTTTTCTGAGTGGGTAGATCTGGGAGGAACTTTCAGGAGACCATGGGTCATCCCAACATTCTGCTTTTATCAAATATGAGGTGTCCAAGGCAACATTATCCTCTACCACTTACACACTTTCTGGCAATATTTTTGTGCATGATCAATGACTAGTGAACACATTACAAAAGCTATTTTTCAAAATTCCATGCACTAAAATTAAGTGGCGGTGTGAACGTGGCCTGGCTGATGTTAAATACTGCCAACATCAGAGAAAAGATATGTGCTCTTTAACTTGACTTTGACAGTATCTCTTACCCATACACGAATCTTAAAAGCTATAGGAATTGTTTTTAACCACATTGCCAATTCTGCGAAGAAGCTCTAAACTCTGCACACGTTTCCAGTATTTAGCAGAAACTTAAATGTTTGCGGCAAAAAAATAAAATAAAATCAAGCTGCTGACACTGGTTCGCTGGCCTTTAGCCAAGCCACGCATGAATTCCTTAATATAAAGGAACGTAAAATTGTGTTTGTCACTCACGTCTTAAAAATAGTCTTTAGGCTGTTCAGTAGAGAGTTACTGATAGCTCCATGAATTAATTTTCCCTGTTTGATTAAAAATGATGTATGCAGAATGCAGAACTATTTTGGATAAGTGAAAAAAGAGTATGCTGACATACACCAGGTCTTGCAGACTGTTGTGCCTGTCATGTGACACAACTGTCACCAAACACAGCCCCCTCATCTGAACCATCACCAACTGCTATTGGCGGCTGCAGTTGCTTGGTATGCACTCCTGTGGGAAGATGCTCTTCCCAGCTCGTGAATGTTGATACCCAAGCATTCTGGAGGTGTCACATGCCCAAGTGCCAAACCGGGGACAAAGATGAGCTTCCTTGCCAGAAAGACAGAGCTGCTTCCCAAGAACCTGACAACATGTAACATATTCTTTCTGTTTTCATATTTAGGGAGCTGGCGGGACACTGTAAACTTCATTTCCTGGCTGTGGAACTCAAGAAAAAAAAGGGGGGGGAGGATATCCCTTGTGAATGGGGAAAGGCTGAAAGCAATGGTACTGTTGACAACAGACCTCAACTAAGGCCAAGCAAAATGGCGATGGGGACCTCCTATGTGTGAGCCAAAGGCTAATGACAACTGTTTATAGGCAACTGCTCTGCTGCCATGAGGATGAAGAAGACAGCAGCCCCCAGACTCCTCCTGGCTTCCTGCCGCTGGGATTGTCCCCTCCCCTAAAGAAAGATCAATGCTTCCTGGAGCATGTCAGCTCCCCTGGGAGTGGACAGAAGCTGCATCCATGCACTGGGAGGGAATGATGCAATGTGAGCACTAAGTTGTCAGCCAAGAGTGTCCACTGTCAGCCCTGTTTACTGCTTTTGCTTTTCTGTTTTGTATTGTTTTTCTGTTTTTGTTTTTTGAGAGTGTGAACACAGGGTACCGAGTTTCTGAAAGGGAGTTTTATTCCTCATGTGCACACTGTAGGAACTTAACCACATCCTCTTGAGAGCTTTCTCGATTGATGGTGATAAATAGCACATACATAGTCTTTTCTGTGATCTCAGCCTGCATCTGTGTATGCCCATGGATTATAGGACAGCTACGGTCTCAAGGCTCTGAAGTCAGAAACTAACAACATCCCCCGACTCCCTGCAAACATGTGGACCACGATGTCTTCTTTAGTCATCTTTGTATCTCCAGCCTCCTGGTGAAAAGGAATCAGAGGTAGATGAGAGCAGCAGCTTCATTCTAAAGAGTCTGCCTCAGGAGTTTGTCCAACAATAGCCCTGAAAATGGCTTGCTTATATATGTCAGGCATTCACAAAGTAAGGAGCATCATTTACCTCATTTAATTCTCATTAAATTTAGTGGAGGTAGAAACCATTATAGAGCAAAACAAATACAGAAAATGAATGCGGTGAGTGGCAGGCTGGGTCACCTGATTCCAAAGTCCATGCTCCTAACCTGTGATGAAAGTTCTGGAATTCTGGTTTCTTTTAACACACACACAGAGCAATATTATAAGAATATGTTTTTTGTTTTAATCCCTGGTGTGGGGATATGGGGCTGCTTCACAGCAACTGACTATGATTTGCCTCATGCTCTAGCAGAGGTGTGGTTTTGCCAGCTGTAGATAGTTTCTGTAACTGTGTGATGTTTGGAATTCTGGGGACTTTTCAGAGGGTGTATAGTTGCTAGGGCCCCAAGGGGTGTTGGTGGGTTGTTGGTTGGTTGCTGTTGGTCACAGTTTGTTAAGGAGTCATGCGCAAAGACGAAACAACAGCAAGAAGAAATTAGATATCTTAACGGCAAAGATCAAACTTGCCCCAAGGAGCTCCATGCCCCTAATCAGCAGGAAGTAGTCTAATGATAATGTCTCCCCATTTCCTGATTACTGACTCTTTCCTTTCCTCTCTATCCTTCTTTCTCTCCTATCTGGTGTTAGGAGATTGAAAGGGAAGAAGAAAAGGGTGGAGAAAGGTGGAAGAAAGAAGAACCCACAAAGTAGCAAACGTCAGCTACATTAACCTGAACGTAGTTCATTATAAAACCTCTTGGAAGAAGGTGAAAGCACAGATTTGGAGCCAATGGGCCCAGTCACCTCCCCTCCTCCATGTTGTGTCTTGCCTCAGTGTGTTTTCCAGGGGCTGGCCACAGGCTGACGACAGGCCCTCGGTCCTTCACTTGCTGCAGGTCATCCAAGCTGATGTACTTGCTCAACTCAATCACTTTATCCATCCAGAAGATGTCAGTCATCCCATGGTCTGAGAAAATGATGACATTTAGGTCATCTTGCAGGCCTCGGTCCTGTGGGGTGGACACAGGCAGTGATCACAGTGATGGAAGAAAGGTCCTTCCTCACACAAATTCCTATAAAGAGGTGTTTTCGGCCAGCTATGGTGCACACACCCTTAATTGTAACACTTGGGAGGCAGAGGCAGGTGGATCTCTCTGAGGCCAGCCTGGTCTACAAAGCAAGTCCAAGACAGTCAAGGTTACACAAAGAAACCCTTTCTTGAAATGCAGCCCCTTAAAAAAAATGGTGTTTTTAAATTATAAATTAAAGAAGAAGGGAGACTGTTGGAGTCGGAACCCACATTTGACCCGTGTCCAGGCTAAGACTTATTAATATTCTGAAGAACCAGGCCAGCTCTCTAGTTAAGCCAGACAATAACATACATCCAGATCAATCCCCACTGGCCATGCATGAACCTGAGTGTTTTGGTGCCTTTGGTGCTATGTGAAGAAGAGAGCCTCACACTGGTAGTAAAGAAGTTGTTGAAGGAAGTATGTAGGGAATGGCAATCAGGAGAGGAAAAGATGACATGAGAAAGTGCCAGATTGGTTGCCCTTGCTTTAGGTCACCTGGATCCACTGGGTCATGTACTTCAGAACAGTGTCCACAGCTCTGAGGGCATCTTTTCGCTGAGGTGATGAGGGGCCGTAGTGGTGGCCTTCCACATCGATGCGCTCATGGTATATGGCTGCTAGATCAGCGCTGCCCCTCCTGGAGGAAAAAGAACGAGACAGCTGTAGTTGAGGGAGACCTCTGTCAGCTTGCTCCCTTATGACCCACTGACCCTCTATGAAGATATGAGAACCCCCAAACTCTATCCAGTGGGCCACCCAAAACCCGTATTTCCACACAGTCAAGGTGAGGGGATAATGAACTCAAGGTTTCTAGTCCTGAGCAGGCAGCTTGGTGACAAGATTCAGAGAATGTAGCTGTTGGTCACTGCTTCTTCTGGTCAGACTGTATTGGTTTACATGTCCACAAAAACTGAGAGATGTAATAAGATCAGATCATAGTCCTTATAACTCCCTTAGCATAGCCTGCTGGAACTGAAAAACTATTGATAGACTTTAAGGGAGTCTTAATAAAATGCAGATTGTGGGTCTCACTGACAAGAATAAAAACAGTGTTGCCACAGCAACTTCATTAGCTATAAATAGATTAAGCCTTAGGATCGGACATCAGAGGACACACCACAGCCATGTGCTCTTTGGGGACCTGTGACAGGCTAGTTCTCATGCAGACACAGAGTAAATCCTAAAAGTAACTTTACTTTTATGAACTTCAAAGCTCTTCCAGGGCCAGCATTGACGGTGAAAATCCAAACCATTTAACCCCCAATGCTAGCCTAAGAATGAGCAGACGCTAGCAATGTAAAGAAGAGTGGTTTGCTTATGGGGAGTAGGAGAATTCCGGGGAATGTTCTCTCCTTCTTCATACGGCACTTTTCACTGTGACCTTCTCTCCCTGAGCTCTGGCTTTGCCCATCCTACCATCAAGCACCCAAAACAGATCGGAATGATGATGATGGCGATGAGGATGATTACGACGACCTCCAGAACTGACAGCAGATGAGCCAATGGAAAAAGAAATGAAAGGCAGTTTTCTCTGCTTCGACCTGTACAAGAGGTAGTATTAATATCCTTGTCAAATTGCTTTATTTCCCTTGAAAATCTCTATTTTAAGCACATCTGATTACAACACACAAATACAGAGACGCATGCACCCATGTTTTTCCTGATATGGTCTTGGCAGCATGAACAGTGGAAGAGTGCAATCTCAGAGGGAGTGGGTCCCTGGGTCTTGCTATCCTGCAGGAGAGAAAGAACCCCATGATGCTCAAAGAGCTCAGTTTCCTTGGTCTGAGTGGCACAGTATCCATCCCTTGTTCAGATGGGTGACAGCCACTGCCTCCTCCAGGAAGCTGCCTTTGCTGTCCTGAGGCTAGGGCAGAGAGGCCTGCTGTGTGCGCCCATGACAACATGCTCACATCTGGACCTTTTAGGGCGTACTTTTCTCCTTCTAAATTTCTCAGGAAGGGTAATTCATTCTCCATTGCATCTCAGCTCAAGCTTAGCATTTGCCACAAAGCAAAATTCTACAGTTGTCAGCTGATTGTTTAATAATAAGTACCCACTAAATGGGCCATTGACCATGGCCATGTGCCATGTACTGTGTTGCAGAATAATAACATAATATTAATATATTATTATTAATAAAGCAATTTAATATACTTTTATATAATACTAAATATATTATATAATTTATAATATAAATACAATTATACTTTATATAATAATATGATATTACTATGTAACATAAATATAATAATTTAATAATATGGTATAATAGAATATTATTATATTTCCCTTTTAATAATATAATTATATATTATTATATACAATAATAAAATAATAATATGATTTATTATTGTTATTCTTTATTATAGGCAGGATTTCATGTATTGTAAGCTGGCTTTGAATCATATAAACAAAAATAACCTTAAACTTTTGATTCTCCTGCCTGCACTTCTCCTAAGTCCTGAAATTTTAGCTATGTACCTGGATTCATATGGTTTTGAGGATCAAACTCCTGGCTACATGCATGCTGGATAAGCACTCTAGCAACTTATCTATATCCCCAGCTATAGAATTCAAGAGAGTTTTAAACAGTTACCAGTATCACAAGATGGAGCCAGGCTGTAAGCCCAGGTCTCAGAACATGACCACAGCTAAGAGTCCACTGTACAGTCCACAGCAAAGGGGAACCATCCCACCCAGCCTTAGTGAACTCTGGAATCCTCGTTCTGTTATATGACTCGTACTAACTCCCAGACGCTGGCTGTGAGCAGGGGCAAAGGTAACACTAAGAGACATCATCCTTGTCACCTAGATGCTCTATGTCTATTGGCTGACTCTGTTTCCAGGTCTGGAGCCATGGGGACAGGAGTCCTCACAGAAAAGCATTCACAGATTTGCATGTGAAGAAGCAGGCTTCAGGGGGTTCTAGGAGTTCCTCACTCCCTGGCAGATCTGAGAAACCTTTGAAACTTGGACATGTAATCTGGGCCTTTGAATGTCCATCCACATCTCCTCCATCTTCTAAACTAGGGAAGAGATTCCAGAGTTGACTCTGACCGGCACACTCCTCCTTTGCGGTCACGTTCCCTTCAGTGATGCCGTTGAGTTCTACTGAGCACTCGGGGTGTGTACATTATTAACAGCCCCAAGAAAACACTGGTTTTATGAGAAGTGAAATTGTTAGTCAAATGTTCTTTTCTCTTTTTAGAACAAAACAAACTGACCCTTCATTAATAAGCCCCATTACCACCTTCCCCCACAGTATGGACTGGGTTATGTTAGGATTTGGATTTTTCTCACAAATGGCATTATCATTACTCCCACTCCCTAATGCGCGAATGACTAATTCCAACTGCCTCTGCATCTATACACGGTTGGGTACAAAAGGTCCCTCTAGGGCCCCACAAGTGTGTAGGTGCTGGAGAGAGGTTAGTACTAGGTAATTTGAGTTTCGTCCATAGGCAGAAACTCGCTTCATGGTCTGTGAGCTGGTAGGGCTCTGGCTCCTTCCTTCATCACCGCATCTGAGCACAACGAAAGCTCCCATAAAACCTGTCCTAGTGATAAGCCTTCACATTTATCTGCTTTACGTACTGGTATCTTAGGCGTTCCAGATGTGCCGGTTCACGAGCTAGATCATCTGTTTAGGTGTCCACACTTCTAGCAGGGGCCCTCCATATGGTGGGGAAAAAAAATCCCACCTAATTCATCGGTGACTCACCGGGATGAGGTTTACTGCGGCATCGGAGTTTAATGAAATACACCCAGGCCCCTTCCTTTTAATACCCATTGCATTGCAATGTATTTGTGGTGCGCTCGAGGTGCAGGCTGGTTTCTCCCGGGCTGTTTATCACATCTGAAAATCTCTCTGTGGTCAGAGATCTGGAAAGTGTCATGATCCACCTGATGGCATTGTTTCAGGAAGCTGTCAGCCTTAGATGCCGGGAACGCTTGATTTGGGATGCTTGGGTTACAGGGAATACACATGTGAGAGGTTTCTGTGTTAAGATTTCATTGATTCATTAGGGACTGAAGTCTCCCGGGGCTGACAGCTCTTGCCTGTTTGGAGTTTAGCAGATAAATTTTTGGTAGCCAGCTGTTTCCGATGTGGATCTGGTCTCTATCACAGGTCAGCTCGTTTGTAATGGGCTTGGGTGAGGCAGGTTGGGTGGAACAGGCTTGAGTGACTGCTATTGGCCATTTACAGGTTTGAGGTCCAGGAACCATACCAGAAAGACATGTGGCTATTAAACCCAGTTCCCAGAAAGCTGCAGGGGGCCTCCAACCCCAGGGTTTCGGGGACACCCAAGTCTTCTATCACCTTATAATTCTGTCTAGGTTGCTTTGCAATATAAAAAGTTCATAATGTCATATCCATTTTTCTTACTGAACTAAGTTGGGAAGAGAGACCTGGGCAGAGGGAAATGGAAGCAATTTAAAGGCATGTTTAGTTATTGGTTGTTAAGAAAGATGACTTAACATTTAGAAAGGAGGCCCCTGAAACGACAGTGCGTTCCTTCTGTCTCGTATTGGAGCACTAACACACGGGATTAAAAGTCACCAGATTTCATTCATGGCTAGCATTCAGATTCTGTACACTTAGCTGTTAGCTAGCAGGAAACCCATAAAATCAAATTTAAATTTTCTGATGGGGAAAACAACCTTAAACTTATGGTTTGATTATTGTAGATGTTATTGCTCTTTCTACTCATATCAATATCCATATCTCATCATTCATTCCCCAGCATCTTTTGTTTTTGCTTATGCGTTTCTCATATTCTCCTAACCATTTTGTTACTCTCACTTCATGAGTGGTAAACTGACTTAAATCTTGGCATAATTCTCATGAATGATGGAGTGAGTACATGGCAGTTTTAATCATGAAGAATACCGTGAACACAAATATGGCTTCTCTTTTCACCTCAGTTTCCCTATCCGGGAAACCTACCTGTGGTGATTGGAATGAGAAATGTCCCCTGTAGTCTCATGCATCTGAACTCTTGGCCCCCAGCTGATAGTGATGATGAGGGAGGTTTAGGTGGTATGTCCTTGCTGGAGGAAGTGTGTTACCAGAGATGGGTTTTAAGAGTAAAACTGCTTCCCTGTTTTCAGTTCACTCTCTCTGATTCGTGGTAGTGGTTGAAATATGCGCTCTCCCCTCTTGGCTCTCAGCTCTCTACTCTGACCACCATGCTTGCTGCCTGCTGCCATGCTGTGTCTGCCATTATGGACTCTAATTGCATGTAAGCACAAGCTAAATAAACTCTTTCTTCTATAAGTCGGTAATAAATACACTGCCATTTGGGTCTTTAATGAGCTGCTGGCATAGTGCTGGACACATAGCAGAAAAGAAGAGAGGAAAGGAGGGAGGGAGGGAGAGAGGGAGGAAGGAAGGAAGAAAAGGGAAAGAAATGTTTTCTTCCGGTTGTACTTCATCATTTTGCCTGAGTGTGCAGGTTTAGCCCGGAGGACAATTTAATTCTTACTGAGCAAGAGCAAGCTTCCCCGCTCCTCTTAGTTCATCCATAGAGAGGAGGGACCCAGCCAAGGAATTCTCTTGTCATCCATCTTGTCATTTACTAGCTTCAACAGTGACTGGGGTTATGAGATTCAAGGTGGCCAAAGGAACTCCTT